CACATCGGGAGACAGCTGATCACATCCTCTGATCATCAGAAACACACATCGGGGGGCGTCTGATCACATCCTCTGATCATCAGAAACACCACATCGGGAGACAGCTGATCACATCCTCTGGTCATCAGAAACACCACATCAGGAGGAGTCTGATCACATCCTCTGATCATCAGGAACACGCATCGGGAGACAGCTGATCACATCCTCTGGTCATCAGAAACACCACATCAGGAGGTGTCTGATCACATCCTCTGATCATCAGAAACACACATCGGGAGGCAGTTGATCAGAGGCAATGAGTGCCTGTGCACAATGAGTCAAGGTGACTTCTAGCTGTCCAGGATCAGCGGCACTCACACGCTTACAAATCGCTCGTTGTAAGCGACCACATGGGAGCCTTCGGGATGATGTGGGGTCTGTTACCGATCATTCCTGCTTTTGAACAAATGAAGCAGATCTGGTGCTATTACCCAATAGCTCAGATCCTTTTATTTAGATTAATTCAATTTTCACCCACCACATGTGAGCAGTGTTTTCTCACTGTTCTCTGTAATTATTTTCTCATATAAGAAGAGAAGAAGAATTAACAAGCCCACACAACTGATCCCCCAGAAACCGCACGTTGTGAAAAAAAATAGGAGGGAAGAAATAGCACTTCCAGAATCACTTACAGCATGCTCCAGGGATAGCGACTTCTGCTTCTCGAAAGGAAACAGATCGCCAATCACTTTAAAATTGTTTTTAAGCCTTTTCACCACCGGTTTTCTCTCTGCGTTGTTGCTAACGGCCCCCCATTTCCAGATCTCTAAAACTGCACGTTTGTGTACCCCGAACAATCCCCTTAAAAAGAGAATGGTAATCCCCACTGCTCATCACCACTGCATCGGCAATAGAGGACTGTTGAGAAATCTGAGCCGCGAGAAGACAACCCCGCTGTAGAATTCTTCCCACCATCCCCTCCCGGCCCACTCTTCCTCCTCTGCCCCCGTGTGCTGGCTGCTATGACAGTTGGTGTGTCATCAAAGCAGCAGGCAGACTGGGCATCGAAAAAGGACCTGTGTAGGTGTGTGGCTGTGGGAGCTCGTTCTGGGAATTCGCATTTGCCCCCTTCCTTTCCTGTCTGGTTCACACATGCCACTGATGGCACTTTTCCCCACAGATAAGATGAAAGACTGATGGAGCTCGGGGGAAGGCCAGCAATATTCCCGACCAGAGAGCACAAGTACACAAGCAGGCCCCTGCCGCTCCCAGTAAATGTCTTTCTAAAAAGCAGCAGAGCTTTGGACTGGGCGTTTATTGGGAAGAACAGCAGCAAAGCTCCCCTGTCATAAAAAGCTCGGCCTCACCTGGCCGGGAAAGGGCTCATCGAGATGGAGAGGGCTGCGTTAAAGCAGCTCGGCCAGCGAACAGTTAACTCACCCCCAGCCTTCTGCTCGCCTCCCTCCCCTCCACTAGCTGTGACATCACACACGGGGCAGCAGCCAATGGCAGCGCGGGGGCCCGCCCCTCCCGGCCCCCCCCCCCTCCCCTCGTCTGCTTATATCTCCCCTCAGCCCAGCGCAGGAGTTGAAAATGTGTTGTTGGCGATCCGGGAGGCAGCACGCAGAGTGAGCTTCAGTGCTGCTGGCTGCATTTTTGTGGCCGTCTTTTCCAGCTGCCTTTCCTCTCCTTGACAATGAGCGGGCTCCCTCAGCGACTCCTGGTGTAATGGGTTGCAAGTCCGGACCTCTGGCCTGCCGGCAGACTCAGGCCCCAGAAGCCCAGGATGCCGCCTCAGATGGGACCCCCAAACCCCCCGAGCCCCTCTCCACCCTGGAGCGGCTGGCCCAGGCCACGGGGGGCGCGGAGAAGTCCTGGTACCGCTGCATCTTCCCTTTCGGCGTCATCTCGCTGGTGATCGGGGTGGCGGGCACGGGCGTCACCTTCTACTTCAACAACCTGCAGCAGGCCAAGGTGGTGTCCGTGGTGCTGCTGGGGATGGGGCTCGCCCTGCTGGCCATGGCCACGGCCTGCTGGCAGGTGCACAAGAGGAAGAGGAGGAAAAAGAAGGAGGGGGGCTCCTTCAGCTCAGAGCACTGCCCCCTGTGAAGAGCAGACACAAGACTGTGCCCCCCCACCTTGGACCTGGACTCGAGCAGTGTCTGTCGTGGGTGAGGGGTTAAGCCACTGGTCGCCTCGGCTGTGGGATTGAACAGAACTGCGGGGCGACTGGGTGATACAGGAGGTCCTCCTGGCACCCTCTTTCCCACTTCTCCGGCGCTTTTCCTCGCTTTGCTCCTTCCGGAACGTCGGCCACCTGCTGCCCCCAGCCGGACAATTCGGCTGGCCGCAGGATATCTGCTGGGAAGAAAGAAACTGCCTGATCCGCGGGGGGGACGGGTGGTCTTTCAACTGCTTTTGTCACAAGCTCTTCTCTTTTTCTCTTCAATGAAAAAGAAGACGACAGACCCTCCCCCCCCACAGGCGCACGCGGACGCAGGCGGTCTGAGTAAAGTGTTCTGACAGGCAGGGAAAGCTGGCTTCCTAACTTCACATGTCTGAGAAGGATCCACTGGCAGAGCAGGGCACCTGGTGACACTACAGATTTTGTGCCACTGGACACCGAACCTGGTATGTTCTGCAACTTGCTTTTTTTGCTTGAAGGAGAAGTCTCTTTCACTTTCCCCCCTCCCTGCAGAGGGACTTCAGCGCCAGAACTCCCAGTCCTGGCTGAATGCCTTTCCCAACTCCACCGAGATCACAAATGTCCGTCTGAGCTGGCTGATAAGCTCCGGCTGCGTTTGGAAAGAAGCCCCGTCTGACGCGGAGGTTAACTTTCGCTTTGGAGTCCCGACCCGTGAGAGCTCGTGCTGCCGCTCACACAGAGAAACCGCGCTGGGGGCAGCAACCCGTAAGAGACGGTTTCGGCGCTCTTCCGTCGTCTCGCTGTCGGGAGCTCCATGGCCGGCCCAGGATGGGACACGGGGCTCTCCAGAGCCCAGGGGGGTCACACGGAAACGAGTCTGAGATTCCTCCTGGCAGCAGTGCCTCAGCCCCCTTAAAAGAACAAGATCTGCCTGAATTCGACCGCAGTGCCTTGTGTGTGCAAGGTGTGTGGGAGAGGAGCATGTGCTTCTGTCACCACGTCAGTCTGGCCTCTCATCCTGCCTGATGCCTGATGCCCGCTGCTCCCGCTGACTGCCAACCCCACTGGACTGGCCCACGGAGGGGGGGTCCCCCTGCACGCGGCAGGAACCAGACTCAGCAAGAGCCCCGCTTTCTGTTTGCTCCGAGAGGCCGCCAGCTCCCTCCCCCCCTCCCTTCTCGTGGCTCAGAGCCCAAAAGGGGGGATTTCAAATGGATGTTAACCTTTTGTCGCCCACTCCTTTCTTCCCTTTCCTGCCGGGAGACAGTCCGCGCCAGCTCTCTGTGGAAACAGCCGACGACAGCCAAGCAGGGGCATTAGCGAGCCGAGGGGCTAGGAACCGAACAGACAGGTTTGTCGACTGCGAGGTCTGTTGGCTGAACATCCCGATATCCTTGGTTCGACAGTATTTGTGAATGCTATTAACCCTGGGTCGGTTCTGTATTGGCTAGCTAAGTATGGGTAGTTTTCAGATTCACTTAAGCCCTAAGCTGTATTTTTGTTATGTCGTTTTCTATGGTTTTTCATCAGAAATTTACAATGAAGCTGTGTACAGTATTTAACAGCTGGTGTAACGCTTTATTCAACTGTGTATATATTAAAAAGTAAGTAGGAATGGTGCAGGTGTGCAATATCTATTCTTAAAAATGCAGAAAGCACTGCTAGATTCCTAGCACTGCCTTCTTAGGTCATACCTGCTGTTCAAACTTTCTGCCTGATCTGTGTGCAGTGTAGAGTCAGAGTGCAAGAGAGGTTTAATAGTACAAGAATGCCAGTATGGCCTCAACACAGTGTGCCATCTTCATTAAAATACTTACTGCCTTGCTAAAACCACAGTCTTCTTGTGTCCTTATTAAGAGCATGGAGCGAAGCTGTAAATGTCAAATCCTTCTTTCAGCCGACTTGCATAAGCGTTCCTACATTTGCTGTGAAAGTTTCTGAAATATCTCGTTGCATTCCTTTTTCAAAATGCATAGCAAATTTAGATACAAATTTGCCAAAAATATACAAAAAATTATAGTGCCTAGAAAAGCATAAGCAAAAGCAAAAATCTCTGCTGAGAACTACAGCACACAGATTTTAAATTCTGCTGTACAATGAGTCTTAAAACCACATAATGTAACTGTGGCTCTAAGCCTGCTTATTAAATAAAAAAAACATATTAATTACCTCATATTCCCTGCCTACTCCCCAATCCAACCACATAGCTATGGTTGATTATGGTGTCTTCTAACCCTGCCTTCAGTAAAACAGGAGGGTATTTTCTAAACAATACCAGATTCAGCTACCGAATGTAGTCAGCTATTTAGTATTGTTAACACAGGTTTTTGCGACACAGCATAGCAAAAATGACTATTTGGGCAAAAAAAGAATATTTGAATATATTGCACCTCATGTCTTTGAGGAAAGCTGTGGAAGGTAAAAAGCCTAATGAATTTCTTCATCCGATAAATCGGGTGACAGTAATGTTTCACTGGCTTGTTTCTTATCCCCTTAATAGAAGACGTCTGCTTGAGTAGCAGTCCCTAAAAGCAGACAGGCATTGTGACTCCCAACCTTTCATGTTGGGAGGGGGGGACTCATCCTTACAAAGTCATTTATTTCTTCGGCATCCTCCGATGAGACAAAAGGCTCGTTAAGGACCTAATCTGATGTAGGATCTTTCAGGCTGCTTTCTTGCGGTTCTTTTCCAGGCAAGTTTGTAATCTGCTTCTGGTGTCATTAGCTCAGTTTCCCATTTTTAAATATAAAAAATCAACTCGGGTGCTCCTTGGCTGCCGACCCATCGTCCTGGTATGAAAACAAAGTCCTTAAATGGGGTTTATAACGAAAGGTTGATCATCAGCTACGTTCAATCGGACGCAGCTGTCAGTAATTCATCATCACTGCTGACCTCATTTCCTCTCCTAAAACACTAGAAATACTGGACGTGATCCCCTTCTGTCCCTCGCACACGTCTCCTCCAGTGCCACCTCTGCAGCTGCCCCTTCGTCCCCCGGCCAGGAGGTCAGCCCTCAGCCCAGCAGGTTAAGCCAAATTTTGACTAAACACTCTGTAATCCTTTCAGTATCCTTAATTCCTGGGGGCTGTTATTCCTAGTGAGGAATGACGACAACCGAGCCTCTCTTTGACCTAGCTGTTCCGAATTATAGTCATTCCTGATGTCAGTTCTCGAAAACGATATATTGGATAAGCAAACCTCTCTTTTCCTTCCTCCACCCCATTTCGACTTCTGTCGCTGCCCCCTTGGTCACCTCCTCAGTCCTGGGGGTGTCAGCCAAGCGGCGTTAAGCCAAACACCACTTCGTCTTCGCCACGGACGGCCTCGAACTTTTGAGTTTTGACAGGTCGAGAGTTTGTGGTTGAATATCCGCAAAGGTGCCGATTAATCCACAGTAGAGAGAGGAGCCCGTGTGGAATTTGCTGTACAGTCTATCGTTATGTGCCCTCCTTAATCAAATCTGATCATTGTAAAAGCTCGTTCTGGCACGACAGGTGGGACAGGGGCTGTGCCACTTTCTGCCAGTTTTCAGATAGGGGTGTGGGGGTCTAATACTGTGCTCACGTCCCGTTACTGCTTCAGGCTTGCAAATGTAAAATGGTGAGGTGACAGCCAGTCGCCCAGCCTTTGTGTCTCCCAGGAAGGGAGTGCTCTTCCCTGCTTGTTCACTCTCTCTCTATGGCGGCCTCACTTCTGTCTGGCAGGGGAAGAGTTAACAGCTGGATGACAGCAGGCTGCTCTATCTGCATTCATGGGAGAGAGAAAAAAACCCTTCTTGCTCATTCAGAAAAAAAGAGCCCTGCGTGCTCTGAATGCAGTACTACACACGTCTGGGGGTCTGTCACGCTGCCTGGGCAGGCTGGACAGATATGAAAAGACCTGGCGACGTACCTGCAAACACAGGGCATGGTGTCCTTCCCCTGGAGGACAGCCGAAACACAGCTGAGGCCCGATTTCAACAGGGAGGGCCTCTGAAATAAATACTTGTAAATTTCTATTTGGGTAGATGTTTGCCTCAAAACAACCCTATTTTGTCAGGAATGTGCTGACCCAGATGAAAGGCGTTCAACACGTGTTCAACAGCAGCTCTATCGCCGATTAAGAAAGAGAGAGCAAATAAAATAAGTCCTGTTTTCCTGTGTAATGTGTACCTGCAAATGTGTTCTGGGTCACATTTATTCACACATATACACTGCTGTGCAAGGGTCTTAGGCGTTTTGCTGCTCTTTTCACTCAATATTTTTTCCTTCTATATGAAGTAGCACAAGTCTGTGGTACCGACACTGTAGCCATTTCGTTTTAAGCTGACAATTATGAAAAGGAAGCATTCTGGTGTACAACAAGTAGCCTTTAAGCTTTGTGGATATATTGATGCCAAGGACAAGACATACCTGATAATGTGTCAATTAGATCCGATTGGTCAATGTGATGGATCAGCTACAACCTCACCTCTTGTCTGCTATTCAAGCATAGTGTACTTTGGGTTACTGTGATCAAGACCTTGAAGATCATGATCAGGGGGCGTTATTGTACGTGAAGAATGTTTGAAAAATGTTGAGCTAATGCCCTCTGCCCTCTGGGGTTTTGGCTTCACCCACTGGCTGTGGGGTGAGGAGGTCAGGATGCCCATGAGGAGTGATATTAACCCAAGGGACAGCTGCAAAGGGGGAGATGAGGTGGAGGAGAGATGCGATAGAGGAATGAATGTGAGGAAGAGGGAGGCCGACTGGGATTTTTTTATAGCGGTTTGGGAAGTGGCCGTGGAGGATTACAAAGAAAGAGCAGCGGGATGAAAGGTAATGGGGTTGCCAGCATTTCTCCCAAAGCTTCGTCATAAACTCCATTTAAAGATGACTAAACAACAGGCCTGCTTTCTTCGCACCCCAGCTAAAGCTGTTATAATAATAAGATAACAGCATAACCGCCTGGTGGAGGATTTGATTAAATTCTGGACCTTCACAC